GTTTGAAATTTCAGACTTGGGAAATATCTCATACTTCCTTAAGATTGAATTCTACAAAAGTAGTAGAGGCTTGATGATGCACCAAAGAAGATATACAGGTGAAATACTCAAGAGATTTGAGATGTAAGATTGTAACCCAACTTCGACTCCAACTAAGCTCAGATTGCAACTGTCGAAAGACACAAATAAAGATAATATTGATCCAACACTACTGAAGACTCATTGGATCACTTGAATAACTCTGTAACACAAGGCCAAACTTAACTTATTGTGTAGATATGGTGATCAGATTCATGCAGAAGGCAAAGGTATCACACCTAGCAGCGACGAAGAGGATACTAAGGTATCTGAAAGAAACTCTCGACTATGATATTTTGTTTCCTGCAACTGATAAAGGAAAGAATGCAAGTCAGTGGGATACACCGACCCAAGTTGGTGTAGTGATACTGAGGATAAAAAATCCACAACTGACTATGTGTTTATGCTAGGTGGTACACCAGTTGCTTGGAGTTCAAGAAAAGAATTAGTAGTAGCATTGTCGTCGTGCGAAGAAGAGTACATAATTGCTTCTCTCTGTACATGTCAAGCAAAGTGGATGGTGAATTTGGTCGAAGAAATTACATGAAATAATTATGGAGTAATTTACGAGAAAAATAAAAATAATTTATAAAATAAAAGAGAAAATATGTAATTTATGAAACTAATTCAAAATTGTCAACAAGTCTAACAATATAATTAACAAAGTTAACTCCTAATTAATACCGTCAATGCCACCGCTTGGCGCTTTGTGCGGATTTGTGGATCATATTTGAAAGAAAAAAAATTCTCCACACAAATATTTTGCTTTGCTTCCAAATCATCTTGCAAATCGTTCTCTTACGCGATATAATGTCCTTAATTCACTCTTTTAAGAAAGCAAATATGTCATCTTCAAACTAAAGCACCACTAGATCTGAAATTGGTTAAAACCATTTTGAAGCAAAGTTATGAAACAAATGGCAATTTTAAATTGATTGTATATCTTATAAAAAGTTCAATGTAGGGCATGACCATCTCTAAATGAGGTTAATTCCACTTTTATTCTTGAAATGACAATGATTAGACACGAAGTTTCAAAATATTTTTTCTTTAGAATCATCCTCGCATAGTCATTTACATTCATTTTTCTTACGGTATACTTTGATTTTTTTTTAAACTAACCACTATTTTTAAATATATTATCAAATAAACTAACTTTTTAAAATGATTACGAAAATAACCTATGTTAAGAAAAAAAATTTGTCATTTAAATTGACGCATACATTCCACACATAAAAATAAGCGCCAATTCATATGGTTTGTACATATATCATGCACCATATGAATTGACACATACTTTCAAACTCACCATGCATGCGCCATATGAAATGAGACTTCTTTCAACCACTCATGCATGCGCCATTTCAAATGGCTACCCTTTTCTAAACCCTCTCTATAAATACATCACCACTCTTCTTCATTTTTCTACTTCATTTTTCACAGTTCCTCTATAATTTATCCTTCAATTTCTATAAACTCCTTCTATTTTTCTTTCAAAATGTCTTCATATATGTGTCCCTATATGCATAAGAGAAATGCCAATTTAATTTATTCGACTGTATTGTCTCTGATGAAGATCCGACTCTGGAATACACTGAAGTTTAAACATCTTAACAGAAGTCTAATTCGTTGGTTAGATAGAGACATTACAGGGGATGAAAAGATCAGAAGAATTCAGAGGCATGTTACCACGTTCAACCAAAATGGGAAAGTTTGTTTACGGGAGAATGTTAAAATCAATGGAGATGTTTACACGTTGATGTATGGTTCTCAAGAAATTTTCCTGATGGTTGTAATCGCATAGTTATGTTATTTAGTCGTTGTATTACTTTGTTTTGTTGTTTAAATTGTTGTTTAGTCGTTGTTTTTAAATTATTGTAACCAAATGTTATGTTATTTATGAAATGAAAGTTGTTTTTAATATAAATCAAAACAGTTACATTTAAAATTATGTTGTTGTGATTGGTCCAACATTGGGACAGTTTGTACAATTGTTTTCGGGCTGACGGCATGAACTACACAATCTCACAATTTTTGTTCGCCGTATCCATTTCGGTCCGAATACTTGTGCTGTTGGGGCGACCATTTTTCTTTCTTCGCATAATTTCATTGTGTCAGACTATGTCCTCTTCATATACAAGCCAATAGTCATGTTTTTCTACCACCGAAAAGTTATTATTGTAGACATTGCATAGGTTTAAGACTTGGTAAACAGGGGACAATAAGATGGAAGGGTCCTGGCGAGCCTTTGAACATGTCGTTATGACATGGGAGCAAGGCATGCGAAAGGCTTGGAACTTTTCGCAGTCGCACGAACTTCTATCTATGACTAGTTCCATCCGGTATGAGTCCATCGACCTCCCTTCATTGTGATCCGTTAACTCAGCAACACTGGATTAACCTTTATTATAGTCAAACATTGTGACCACATGTGTGTTAGCTTTGACAACTTCCTCCTTAATGAATTTCATCGAACTATCACTGAACAGTTCCCCAAATGGTAAGACAGAACTCCATTTTGAACGTATGATATCAAAAAGTGGCCCAAGTCTAAAATAGGTTGCCATCACCAAAACGGTTATCGGTAGACTTCAAACGCCTTTGAAGATACAGTTCATTGATTTAACGAGATTTGTTGTCATGTGGCCCCATTGTTGTTCATTGTCGTATGCTCTTGTCCACTTCTCCAAATGAATATTGTCGATCTACCTTACTGCATCTAAATTTGTCAATCTGATGTCTCCGCGGAAATGTTTGAAGGAAGGTTCTGCTAATGCATACCCTGCGTTCACAACCTTCTTTCAGAGCGTCTTGTCTTCAATCTCCTGCATGAAAATTTGAACGATGTGTCTAATGCATTAGACATGCGTTGAAAGAGGATCCTGCTAGTCGTTATCAAGATTTTTATATACACTCTCAATTGATGCATGTCTGTCTGAAATCAAACATAAGTTAGGCTGAGGAGCAACGTGTAATCGGAGATTTTTTAGAAAAAACTCCACCCCCAGGAGCTATTGCATCGTTTTCAAAACGATTCAATGTACCAATTCGGCCAACCATAACGTCCTCACCTAACCCAGTCACTACGACCCAACTTCGAAAACATGGGCATATAACTGAATTACGGAAGCGCCGTTGTCAACAACCCCCTGCTATTGAGGGGAAAATGATTTAAAAATATGTCACATACATCGGGACCCTCGTACCAACTACCTTTTTCGCAGACTAATACGCAAAATCATGGTAGACCACAAAGGCAAACTAATGCGCCAGAATGTGAAACCGACGGACATTTCGATCGGACAGATCATTGATTTTTTAATCAATTGTTATAACCTTTAACAAATATAAATAATGATTTTATTTATTTTTTATTTTTTATTATATTTTTTATTACAGGATGCGTCATTTCAAATGACGGATGTACTCCGTGCTTATATATATGCGTCATTTCATATGATTTGATATACATGCATACACCATTTAAAATGACACCTATACATACATTTCAATACATGAACCATTTGAAATGACACATTTGTTTTCTTTCACTATGAAACATAGCTATTTTGGTAATTATTTTGAAAAAAAGTGTTTATTTGATTTTGAAAACAGTGTTTTGAAAATTACCTTTTGTGTTTTGTTTTATTTAAAGAAATTCTGAACAAGTAACTATCATAAAAAATAAATTGCAAATACAAAAAACTATAACATTTAAATGAGCCGCAGGGAGGGAGGAAGATTGAATCTGGTAGAAAAATTGAACTTTGCTTAAGAATGATAGTTCCATTACCATAAGATACTGTGCAGAAAGGGGTGTCAGAAATAGAGGTTAAGATGTGTGTGTAAAGTGAGAGAGATGAGATAAGTTAAAAGTCATAATGACTATTAAATAAAAATTTTAATCAAATTTTTTTATTAGATGCAATACTTCTCATTTGTTCCTCTCATCTCTCACAATAAAATACCGACTCAAAAATCAAGAAGAAAGGAGGCAATAAGGGATACAAGGATCAACAATTCAATTCAAAAACAAAAGATTTTGTTGTTAGAATAGCTCATCCATGTGGACAACTAGATGTTTATAGACACCTTGTTCCTGCTTACTCGTTGATGACAAAGTATCCAAATATGTGTATTGCAAGTCCAAATGTTTTCAAACTTCCTCACCAATTTGTGTTATAGAGAGAAGATCTTTTGAATCCTTGTCACAAGTATATCTTAATCTCTTTGAAAGATGTTGAGAATCTCAAAAGAAGGTATCAAGAGAAGGATAAGCTAACAAGATTTTCAAGAAAAAGAGGATTAAGACCAAAGATAACCTTTGTACCACCTTTTCCAACCAGAAGATTTTAAGCACAAATAAGGAGGTGAACAAAACTATAGAGAAAAACAATATTCTTAGAAATGTAAATTCTGAACATGTCCTCAAAAGGGAGATTCAAAATCTCACTAGGGAACGTCTCCATAATATATTGTTTGTTTGTTTTATTTAGTTATATACTTTATGTTATTGTCACGTTTTCACATGAGTGGTTAAAACCCTCTATAGTGAAACAGACGATTCAACGAAGCTTTAAACAAAAATCTAATGTTATTGACACTTCTTCACATAAGTGGTTAAAACCCTCTATGGTGATCCTGACGATTCAATGAAGCTTTAAACAAAAATTAACTAAGACTGTCATTTAATTGTGATTGCATGGCCAACCAAACATTTCATTCTAAAAGGAATCTATACTATATTTTCACTTAGAAAGAAAAAAAAGTTGTATATATGTTCAACAGCAGCACAGTGAAAGTAAAGAATTAGTAATGAGTAATGAGCAATAGTGCAATACATTTCTGGTGTTAGCATCATTAATAGGTGTTTAAGAAGTGACGGGGGAAAATGTTAAAAAGTCATCAAAGTGTACTATACATCAGTCAATTTGCTTCAGTCTGGCATCGATTTCGAACTTTCGAATGTGGTCTCTTGATCTTATATCAGCCTGAAGTTCAAATAGACATGTAAGGATACTTCAATTTGTACATGTAACCCATAATTGGAAGTATTCATCATAGGCCTTTTTATCAGAAAAAAAAAATGTTTGTGGAACACTTAATAGATGGAAAATCAGCAATTGGGGAACCAGTATCTGTCTAGCTATCAACAACTGAACCTCTGTCATCTAATGAGGATAATGATTATAAATGGGATGAAAAAACATTTGATGGATCAATCTTTACATATAAATGGAAAATTACAATAAACTTCTGAACAGGAGAGGAGTTAATAATAGCCTAATAAGAGATAAAGGATTTTATAAGTTAAAAAAGTATGAATATTCCATTTTATATGTTCTGGTTCATGCTTTTCTTTAAATTCAACCGGTCAGTTGTGATTGTGATGATAAATATATGTATGAAGTAGATACCACATTCTTTCAAATAGAAAATTGTTTCACACCTGTCTAATTGGCTCAGGGATACGGTATTTGCAAGTCATCTGAACAATTGCAGTGGCAGTCTGGAGTGATATTCTATGACCAATTGATATGTATATCGGCTTTATGGAACTCTGTGAAGATCTCATGGCCTGGATAACATTTTGGAAAGAAAGAAGAAAAAGACTAAGTGAATGGTGAATCAAAATATCAATAAAAATTGCACAAACACATGGAAGTAGATTTTGGAAGCATAAGTTTACGCTTTAGAGCTTGCTTTTTATGAGTACGTCACAGCTGTTTAAATGCTTACCACTCCCCATGTTTTCCCAGAGCAACCAATCAATGGAATAAAATCTTTAGAAGAGTTTTCTTTGGCTTCAAGAAGTTTTCTCACTCTAGAGTGATGGAGACCGTCCACATGATGCAACTGGAACATATAAAGTTAACGAACGATACTTAACTCTTAACTACAAAAATACCAGATAGAATCAAATCTCTAAATTGATGGAAATGCATGAGAAGATTTATAAAGGCTGATCAATATAGTGACATGAGTCTTCATTGAAAAACAAAAAAAGTGGCATGACTCTAGAGATCACGGAATAATAATTTAGCTGAGACTATAAATACTAACACTCTTTCCAATCCCAATTGTTGGAAGATTGGCTATAACTCCAATATGACAGGCCAGACCAAAACCTGTAAGAGTTAAACGTAGCAGGCTAAAATTTGTCAAACACAGGTTGCAAGTTAAATATTTGTTTGTCACCACATGTATGAATATGTGTAAAGAACCTAAAATGACTTCAATTATCTCAGAAGTTATACTGAGTAAGAGTTTTTACATTGGAAATTGAGTGATAAAATGTACTTGGATGAAATGCATAAACTATCAAACATTGCCTAAAATGACATTCTAGCGAGGTAATTTTCTGTCGGAGTTTTGTTCACAGCATTTTCAATTAAATTTAACATTGATTACTATATTTAATGTAACAAACAAATAAAAAATTGAAACAACATCCAACCATTCTATTAGCTCTGAAATGTTTGATTCAATACCCATTAGTCAAACTGAACAGCAAGTAGCTCCTAACATTCCAGCTATTATCTTTCAATCCAACAAATACTGATAGAAAAAAAAATAGTGCATGACTCTTGATGCAAAATGTTCCGATACAGAGCACTTGCCTCGTGGATGAAGTATTCCATTTCCATCAACCATTAACAACTGTCAACAACATAAGAATAACCTTAGTATCAGAGGAAGAAAACATCAGTTACATAAATATTCATAACAGTAAACCAAAAACAGTTACAAATCTATTAGAATCCTACAGAATTGAGTTCTTAGTGTAGTGACAAGATTGGCACATGGAACAATATGAAAAAACTAACACACAACAGTTACCTGAGGGTAGAAAGGATTATCACTCCTCATTTTCTCCAGAAGATCTAGAAGTACTGGAGCCTACAATTATAGAAGCAATCAATATAACAGCTTACAGAAATATCAAATGATTTATATATAGAATAGCTTATTTCAAATACAATTGAATACACTTTCTGTTGAAAGTAACCAAACCCCACTTTGGAGGTGGTAAGGTCTCTGGAAACAAGCTTACTAGTATCCATGGTATTAAATGGCACTCCGCAACCGTAATTACGACCGCAATATTGCAGATGTAGTAGCCTCCGCAACCGTATCGGAACGCCATTGCGCTGTGATTTAAAATCACGCGTCCGGCCATATTAGAAACCACATCAGATAGTTTCACCCATGTCTTTTCAAGTATTTTCATCGAATCTTAAAATTTCAGAATCCAAAACTCAATTTATAATGAAAAATCTTAAAATTGCATTGTATTTCAAACACCACTCAATCAAAATTCACGTGCAACGGCCGCAATACGCATCGCAACAACTGCAATGACCACAATTGCAACACCCGCAACCGCAATTTAAAATCATACTAGTATCTTTATGTGAGGATTGGGGATGATTATCACTCTTATTCTATTCTATATATAAATTGAAATAAGCTAATCTGTGTATAAATCTCCTTAAAGTAAGTGCATACTAAAAGAAATGAAAAAAAAGAAAAAAAAAGCAGAACCTCTCGAAAGGCAAGGAAGCCAGCCACATAAGGAACACTAAGAGTGACGAAAGAGAAATCCTCATAAACAACTTGAAGAGTATGGAAATCCAACACTACAAGGGTACCACACGCCAATGATGGATCATCCTTTGAGAAGCTTATATCAAAGCCACCAAGGAATCTCAATTCTTCGGCACCAATTTGTGATATCGTTGGTAATTTCCATGTGAAATTATCCTCAGTGATTAGCTTTTCCCTCAGATTATCTTGCACCCTGAAAAAGAAAAGAAGAATAGATTAGTGAGAAATAAAAAAGTTTGAATAACGGAAATGTAGATTTTGATGAATTTAAACGCGTAACGTAATCCAGTTATGACGATCTTGTGATGAAGTTGACGCCTGCTGTGAGTTTGATTGTTCTTGTTCTTGTTCTTCAGATTCGGTTTCGATTGGATTTTCCATTGCTTTGCTTCAAATGAAATCAGGTTGAAGAAATAAGAAAATAATTTTTTAAGAGTAAAGAAATAAGAAACTCGTAGAAAATAAAAGTCACATTAAAATAAGAGTTTTTTATATGGTGAGGAGTCAATTAAGTCCCTCACCGTGTACCACTCAATTTAAACCGTTAGATTAAATAAGTCTATATGATTCAGTTACTTATTATCACACTAGATTTTGATCTCTCTTCACTGAAAAACCGGAATACTTAAATAAGTCTATATGATTCAGTTTTCTTCATCCTCGTGTCTTAGGCCAAGAAAAACCGGAACAATCAATACAAAATCATAGTGTAAATTCAATAATTCCTCGAAACAAATATTCAAAATCACAGTATGAATCTCAGATTTTCGAATTCAATTAGAAACTAAAATTTGTAAAAACAAAGAAGTAGAAGAAGAAAACGACGTCAGTTAAAGAAGCTTCAGGAAATTTACACTTCACTGAACTAGTGCAGAATGTTACGAAATTGGATCATAATCAAAAAAATCAATTGATGTTAACGTAATTGATGTGCAAGTGATGATCCTGATTTAGCATGCATCATCATTCATCACCAATACCATTGGATTTTTCTATCTTTTGTGACTGTAACCGTAGACGAGATCGTTGTGGAGTTTCGTGCGAGTCTGTGGAGCTCGCGGCGAGGATTGAGTGGTGAACGAGGGAGAAGCATGGTGGTAGTTAGATAGGAATGCGGAATCAAGTCGCCGACGATGATCGGAGGAGTTTGTTGCGCCATGAGTGGCTGAACAAAACAGAGAGATGAGAGGGATGGTTTTATCATGAATAATATTGAATTTTGTTTTTGTAATTTATCTGCTTATTCATGTGTATCCATGGAAAATCAATAGATAAATGTTAGTTATGGTGTAATTAGATTTATCATGCTGTTTTTTAAGATAAGATTTTAGCATGCCAATAACATGATTCTGCATGTTAAATGACATACAGTATAAACTTGATTTGTAGTTTTGCGTAACAGTTAAATATGCATTTCTTTTTAAATTTTTTTAATCGCTATCACATTTTTTAATCCCTATAACATTTTTTAATCGCAGAAGTTTAATGGAATAAAGTTGGGTTGTTGTATCTTTTAAATAAATTTATAATTTTAAATGACTTTTACAATCAAATAGAACATTATATATAAAAAGCCACTGCATGAAAAAAGAATAGTTAAATTTATTTTAAATTCAAAATTTTGTTACTTTTATTTCAAATTTTTGTATTCAACTTTTTATAATGCTGTAAATATTCTTGAAAGACATTAATTAAATTTATAGTATAAAAAATTTTACACCGTCAATTTATTACTATCATTCGTTTATATTATTTTACAAGTTATTAAAATAAAAGTTAAAGTTTTTTTATATTTAACGTTTATAATTAATTGACAGTACAAAATCTTTTTATATTATTAATGCATTTTAATTAAATCCTATTTACAATATATTATATATCATCAAAGACTAAAGTTATTTATGTATAATTTTAATAGTTTCATAGGGTGACTAGTTAAACATGCGTTCATTTTTGTTTGTGTTTTTTTTAATGTGAATCAAAATTTTAAATCTAGATCTTCGTGTGTGTGTATATATATATATATATATATATATATATATATATATATATATATATATATATATATATATATATATATATATATATATATATATATATATATATATATATATATATATATATATATATATATATATATATATATATATATATATATATATATATATATATATATATATATATATATATATATATATATATATATATATATATATATATATATATGTTTTATTTAGTATTGTCTCTCTTTTCTTTTTTTTTAAGATGTGAATATTAACATTTTTGTTTTATAACTTTTAATCTTTAAAGAGGAAAGCTTGGTTTTGTCTCACCCTCATTTTCACAGGATAAGTCAAAGTTTTAGATGCATACCCTCACCTATGTTTATAGTTCATCCCGCTTCATTTGTTGTATACTTTTGCGTGTGGACATGTATAAAAGTTTAAGATTGTTTTTGTGAAAATCTCAACATAAAACTTAGAGACTAGAATAAGCTAAGTGATTTAGATTGGACTAAGATAATCCTCCGGTGTGATATTTGTATATCTTATCTCTTTTATTTCGATTATTTAATTTACAATTTCGGCTACTTATTGCTCTTCCTATTATTTCGCTGATTCAAATATTTCTTCTAAAATAAACGATTTTAAATCAAAACATTTTTTTAAAAATCCAAATATCACAATTCACTTCTCTCTTAAGTTTGAAGTCACTTGATCAACATGCTCTTACAAAAGTCTTCCCTTCTTTAGGAGGTTTCAACTTTGTCACAACTTTTGATCTTTTATTGTTAGACCAATTTGAATTTTTGAAGCTTTATTTGTATTTCTTCTTGAATTTCCTTTCATGACCATATTTCTATATCACCTATAAGGCTACTTTGAATTAACCTTTTAGTCCTTTTATCATTCATAATGAGTTCATGAGCCTCCAATGAACTTTTATTTTATTTTCATGGTTTTCAAATATTTGGACTCTTAAATTTACAACACTATTAAATCAAATCTTAAAGTCATATATTTCATCATCAACCATTTGCCAATTAGTGATAGTTTCCCTAGAGATCTTCATTTGATTCACCGGTATAATCTATTTTAAAAATTAATCATTTATCTTTTGATTATCTTCCATCAACATCAACTTAAACTTTCTCCTAAAGATTGAAGCTTCATTTGCTTCACATTTTCTTTGCCATAATGATATTTCTCTAGGATATCTCACGTCATTTTTTATTTTAACAAGTTTAAAATCTTTTCAAAATGATGAGTAACCACATTTTTATTGAACATAGAACACAACTTTGTATTTTTTCTTCTTCGAATCTTTGAATGTGACTCTTTATACATCAGCGAATTCTGCTCTCAGTTTTTCATAGTCATTTTGTCACATCTCAATCACATCTTGAATTTCAAATAATAACTTTGTTAAGACACTTAATACATTTATAAAAAATCTAAATGTTAGAAATAAATTCATAATTTATGTTCATGTTTACTAAAAAAAAACCCTTAGAAAAATTCAGTAATTATCTTTTAAAACATTTTATTTACATTTTAAATTTTAAATAAAATAATAATTATTAAAAATTTACACAAACGATTTCGTATCATCTTATAATATTTAATAAATTTATAATAAAAGTGGCTTCATCATATAAAAGTATTTTTAAAAAAAAAATATTCATTTTTATTTATAGATATTTTTTTAAATTTACATGAGTTAATTAGACATGATTAATCTCAGGTCCCATAAGTTAATTTTAAGTTAAGTTTTAGTCCTTTAATAAAAAATCATAACAGTTTGGTCCCATAATATTAGTTTTGTTAGCAATGTTGGTCCTTTTCGTTAGTTTAGCTGAGAAAACGTTAGTTTTTGCCAGCGTAACGTGCCAACTGTGTAATGACTCGACAAATGGATTAAATTGAAACCTTATAATTATTTAAAGGACTAAATCAGAAAAGTTAATCAAACTACAATTACATTGTATTTGTAACAATTTGATAGTATTTTAAATTAATAAAACCTTTGATATCAAAATAATCTTAAATCTAATTACATTAAACCATAATCTATTCTTTCAAAGTTGAACATAATCTTATTACATTAATCCTATCATTTTCCTTCTCCTCTGTCTGATATCAATTCCAGCTGCCTTTAATTCTCTTTTGCAGCAAAGCAAACCTCCTCACTTCCTTAAGTTGTTTCTCTCTGGTTGTAAAATTTCCTGTAAATTTCTTCAACGTTTTTTTAGAAATTTTCTTCAACCTCTTCCAACTACAAATATGATGACTCCTTTCAACTACAAATATGACGATGTTTCTTCAGTCTACTCCTTGACAAATCAATTCTAAAATCTTTGGAATTAAACCCACTCCTTAACAAATCAATTATGAAATCTTTGAAATCAATTTTGATCTCTTCAACCTGCCCCTTTTAGGAGTGTTATTACTAAAAGAGCAATTAATCCTAAATAAAAATAAAACGAAACATAAAATCTCAATGACATTCACACTTAAAAAAACAAACTTTTGCAAATACATAACAAACCTAGAATTGTCCACCGACAAAAAAGGGTTTTAACTACTTAGCCTCTCCAACTCTTATGCTTCGGTTAATCCAACACTAATATGTTTAGGAAAATTCTCTGCAGCATTGGGACAAACCTTTCCCTCAACACCTAGGGCAGTACCCTCTGGAACAACATCTAAAGAGAACATGCGCAAAAATAAAATCAAAAACAGTGACTGTTTCTTTTTTGGAAACTACTGGAGTGAAATATCAATTGTAAAATAAATAATTACATGCTGAAATACTGATCCAATTGTTGATTTGGATTCTCTAATATTCTGGTGTAAATCACTGTAAGACGCACTCAATCTTGCTACATGTACTCATATTCAATGTATTTATCCCAAAGAGAGAACAAAAGATAATTTGTTCCAACATAAGCAAGCAGAGAAAAACGAAAAGCATCAAATAAGAATCAACCACAAATTAAATATATACAAATTAAAGAACATAAGCAAATCATTCGAACGTGCGTCGCGATTCCAACAGTGACAAACTGATTCCATTTCTCTTCTTCTTCTGTTTCTGAATTTGAAATTTGTTTGGTTGTTAAGGTGGGTTGAAATTTATTTATGTGTATTTGGAATGTTGGCTTTGTGTAGAAAAATATTGGATTCAAGATCTGAAGAAAATGAATTTGTGGTTGATGAAGAACAAATTAAATTTGTTACGTTTCAAAACATTCGGTTGACGAAGATGAATAGAAACAAAGAAAGAAGGAGATATCTTGAAGTCAAAAGAAGGTCTAAAAGGATAAGAGAGAAGAAGGTGGTTGTTAGGTGATCTGACCTGATCAGAAGAGGATCACTAGCTAGTCACACCCTGTTGGACTGCTGCATGTTCACCGGTGATGAGGAGGAGGAAGGGGTGTAGCTGCAAGGCACTCCGATGCCAAAGTAAGTATATGGGCAGAGTGGTTACAAGCACAGAAAAAGGGGTAAGAAGTGAACTACCTGACCCTCTTGTGAAATGGGGTATTTATAGAGAGACCCCAGCGCTGGGCCAACGGTCACTTGTGTTGGACTGGGTGGCCAGGCCCAACCCAGGTGACTGTTAGGGCTTACGTGGCGTAGTGAAGACCAGGACGTGATCTTCGCCCTAGTCCAACTGTCCCGTGATCTCCGGAAAGTAGGTTTGACCTGCTCTTTCGGAGATGGGTAGTTGGCTGGTGACGTGTCCCCGCGGAGTGGAGAACGTGTGAATGGCACGTTGATCTCCCCGCGGAGGGGAGCTCGCGCGGTTCCCCGGAAGTGTGTTGTTCTCCCCGCTGAGGGGAGCACACGAGGGCGCGGGGGAGACACGTTGTCCTGCTCGTCGGCATGGGGATTCCGCCCGCGGAGGGTTGTTCTGCCCGACGAGGGACAGTGGTGGGCAACGCCTTCCCGCGAAGGGGAGAGCGCAGAGGACGTCTTGAGGCACGTTGTTCTACTCGGCGGGAGCGTGCCCTGCCTGTCGAGGGGTCACGTGCTCGGTCAGCCTACTTAAACTATATTGGGTCTTTATTGTGTATCATTGGGTTGGGCCGCGAGGTGAGGTCGGGGCCCAGGCCAGAACATTAGGATTTTGGAGAATGAAAGAGAGAAAGAAAGGAATTCGTAAGTTAATAGAGAATGGTAATAAACCCACATAGTTAATAGTTCCAAAAAATTAAATCCACGTAGATAAAAAAAATCCACCTAGATTGCCATGTAAGTAAAACTTATTTTTTTTTACAAAATTTAATAAAAAAGACTAATTAGATTAACATAATCATTTTAAAGAATTACTCTATTTATCCCAAGACGTTTTGGTTATTTCACATAAATTAAAAAATGCAATAATTACTTTATGAAAAAGTAAAATAAACTATAACTTTACAAAATTGTCATTCATTAATTGTATTAAAAAGCAGACTAAATAAATAAACAGACATAAATAATAAAAAATATACTATAAAAAAAATCATTAATGTTGTATTGAAATTCTAAAATGACTTAAAATTTAAAATAAATATCTTTTCCAAAATAATTATAATTTAAAATAAAGATAATAATACATAACATTTTTTAGATACAAAACTAAAATAAAAAATTAAAAGAGCAACTAAGCCGATTAATTACTAAAATATATTAGTACATGTAAAATCTTACTAGTACTTCTTTTCAACTTTAAAGAATAAATAATAAATAAATGAACTTTATGATTATGTGGCATGCTTACACATTATTTCAACATTTGTCAGCATGTGAAAGTTACGACAGTTTTGTATATAACACGCAAAACAAAGTAGAGAAAGAAAGTGAAATTGTACCAAATAAATTCACACTTCACTTCTCTCTCCACAAACACAAGTCTCACATTTCTCATCATTTTACTTTTACTTCATTTCAACTTCATTTCTCTCAAACCACTTTTCTCTCATCTTTCTTCAACACACATTCACAAAATCAAGGTTCGTTCTTCTTTCTCTTCTTCTTGTTCTTCATTCTCATCTTCACTTTTCATATCTGATCTATCTACCTTCCATTGCTCTAAATTTAATGCATTGTATTGTACCTTTTTTGACCTATTTTCAGATTGTTTATTTCTTTAATTTTATTATTCATTGAAATGAAATGTTTTGTCTAATTTGATCAAGTTTTTGTTTTTTCTTATTGATTAAGTTTTTTCCTATCTTTTATACTTTTCAAAACTTTACCTTTGATTATTATTATAATTATTATAGTTATTTATTATTAATATTGTTCATTTTTGTGTTGTTTTGAATCAGGTGTGAAATGGCTTTGGGGAGCAATGAGAAAAGAAAATCAATTTTGAATGTGAGACTTGGAATGGATTCTGATTCTCTTAGAAGCCCCACTTCACCACTTGATGTTACTTTGCTTTCAAATAGAGGTAACCCTTTAAGAACAATATCACCTGAACAAGGACAAAAAAGGGGTTGGGACTGTACCAAAGTAGGTTTAAGTATCATAGATTCTTTGGAGGATTGTTCTAAATTTTCTAGGAATGTTCTTCTGTCATCTGAGTTCAATAAGGGTGGTAGTCTCAGTCCTAATCCTAGTCCTCGAATGATTACTAAAGTGCCGAATGTTAATCACTGTTTGGATTCTGTTAAGGCTTCTAAGTCGTTGCCGAAAGATTTTTTTAAGCTGCCTTATACTCGAAATAGTTCTGTTTTTCGTAAGGGTGAATCCAATGTTGTTTTTGAAATTGGTGAAACATTGGCAGAACATGAATTACCACCCTTTGGGAAATCAATGTCTTGTTTGTTGGACTTTTACGGTCCAATTAAAGATTCTAACTTCGATGATTTGAAACCAGTGGGTTCTCGTCCTTGTTTTATTGGAGAAAATATGAATCCAAACATGTTGCTTCCGATGTCTCTATCTGCAAGGGAGATTGAAAACTCTGAGGACTATACTTGTGTTATTTCACACGGTCCTAATCCGAAGAAGACGCATATTTTCTGTGATTGCATACTGGAAGTTTGTGCTGGTGATGGTGTTAGAAAACTTCGAAATGAGAATGAAGAGAAGGAGGGTTTGTTTCCTCCGGTGGTTGACCGATTAGAGACTCCAAAACAATATCCCTCTACTGAGTTTTTAGCTTTCTGCAACGGTTGCAACAAGAAGTTTGAAGAGGGTAAAGATATTTACATCTATAGGTAAATTATTATCATTGTTGTAACTCTTTTGTTTTGACTAAGGTTTTAAGTTGCATTATAGTTGTTGTTTGTCGCAATGCGATAGTCAAATGTAATCAGCCTTGATTTCCGCGTTGTGTTCCTTGAGAATCGTAGTCAAATGCAGCTGACACAGCCTCGATCTTTTAACATCATAGTCAAATGCAGCTGACGCAACCTTGATAAGTCAAATGCAGCTGACGCAAGCTCGATCCTTGAAAATTGGGATTTAATGCGGTCTTGGTCGGTTGCTTGCGATGACATTAATCACATTGATGTCGTGTCGTATCTTGCGATTTTGGCTTTAAAAGTTTATTTAATTTAATCGATAAAACATGATACTTAGATTGACTTCTTTGGTATCTTGCAGAGGTGAAAAGGCATTTTGCAGTTTAACTTGCCGCGCCCTCGAGATTATGATTGACGAGGAGCTAGAGAAATCCAATGCACCACCATCTGAGAACTCTATAGAGTATGAATCTGGTGGAGAAGTTTTTGGATCTGGCATCTTCACTGCTGAATAGAGGTTTTTTCTGCCATTGACACCGAGTCCATGAAATGAGGAAACGCACCATATCATCTGTTTAAAAAAGAGCTGTTTTTTATGAACTTTAGCAGCCATGGATGATTGTTTTGTACATGATTGCGTTCGCCATTGGTTTTTTATTTTGGCTTTCATGGTCTCATGTGGATGGTGGCTCTCTTCAGCTAGATTTGGTTTTGGTATATGACTTTACTATATAATATGTTATGAAATAATATGATAGGTTATGTATGGCTTTTGAACATGCAAGAACCTAAAGGGTTTAAGCTCATTTTTCTTGGCTTATCCTTTGGTGTAGTTGCTTTCATAATTTATGTCTAAGAAATCTATGTATGCAAACTTAACAAGTTTTTGACTTGAATCTTATATATTACTATTGGAATGTATCTGAACCTGTTTCCTTTCCTATGTAGCTCTTATATTTTACATTGAATGTACGTTTGGTGTTCGACACATGCTCGTGTAAGTCTTTCACATATCAATGCACAGACACTTTTGACGAAATACGTCTTTCACATATCATTGACTTAGCTTCACATGTCATCGACTCACCAGTATTAACATATGTAGCACAGACACTTTTGACGAATGTTCCATTAATTCATTCTTTCAATTTTTACTGGGTTAGTGTAGTGTCGGTGTTTGTTTCCGTAATTCATCTGTATTAACTCTAGTTAGTTGTACTTCAGATGGAAAAATCAGTTGTAACTAATTTAGGTGTAGTGTTAGAAGTTAGTTTTCAGATTTACCTTGTTTAATAAGAAAGCAATTGATACTCTGAATGTGTTTTTATTTTATTTTGATCAATTTACAGAAAAAGTTTTTAAGTGTCTCTGATTCCCTATTGTTCTTACCAACCATTTTTTATTTTCTTCACGCATGCTTCGATTGGATCAAATCATTCTACTTGTGTTTCTAATATATCAGATAACTCGTTATTCACTCATGCACTCGCTTTCAATCTATCTTACCCTCCAAAGAATTAATTTGACACAATTTATTAATGAAAATGAGTGTCTAGAGAGATTTTGTGGAAAGTCTAGGAGGGAACCAAAATCCCTCCTGAACCATTTTTTGTTTTTTCTCAATTTGCAGGGATTTAAAGGAGAGGGGAGGTGTTTGATTTTAAATTATAATTATATTTACATATTTATCCTTATTATTTATTTAAATATAAATTTAACTTAAAACAATGTTAAAAGTTTTATTTTGAACAAATTTTAATCTTTCTTTATATATTTTTTGTATTTTTATATCTTTATCTAACTATCATTATATCTATTTAATTTTTTATTATTTTATTATTTATATTTTAATGTTAAATTTTAATTATTGTAATGATTTTTTTTATAATAATAGGGGGAACAAAACTGTAATTTAGCCAATTATATATTATAATTGATACGTTTTTATAAAATATTTCATGATGATATCTGATTGAATATTTATATTTTGCCAATAAATTTGTATTTGAATTATAAACGATAAATATCACAAGTCTTATGGTAAAAGTAGAAGAATAAAAAAGGAAATTAGTTTTAAAATATCTCCCCTCCCCATGTGAACCAAACATATTTGTAAATAAAATGTCTCTCTTTCCCTCCCCTTTCATATCCTGAATTAAACATATATGTAATTAAAATCCCTCCTCTCCCTTCTCCTCCCATTCCCTCCCTTCTCCTCCCCTCCCCTCCCCTTTCATATCCTGAATCAAACATATATGTAATTAAAATCTCTCCCCTCCCTTCTCCTCCCCTCCCCTTGATAAAAATTTCTCCCCTCCCCTCTCCTCGATTGAACCAAACAGACCATAATATGCTGCAAGTAGGGGTGGCAAAGTGGGCAGCCTGCCCCCTTTAGGTCCACCTTGTTTAAGCCCGTCCAAACGTGGGACGGGGCGGGGCGGACCTGTAACACCCTTCTAAACCCCGCAAATAATATATGCATAATCAGAGTAAAAGTTAACATGCATCCATAAAAGGGCATCACACAAAACTTGCACCACATTAAAACAATTTGTCATGCTCATAAACACCTTTCCATTTAGCAGCGGATTCATTAATGAAAATCCTTTAAAAGAAACATTTACTTTCATCATATAAAATCAACATCTCTAGGCACTAAGGCCAACATCTCATTATCTCAATTACTCCAAATATGAAAACATAACTTAGGTTACATAATGTAATCCTAAAACATAAGCAATCGATCCCCGTGTTACACGACCAGAGCATGACTCGACCCATAAATAATTACTAAACCGCTACACACGTAGCAACCTCGAACTACAAGCAGAACTTCATAAAGGCCTCCAGCAACCTAATCTGCAATGCCTCATAGAGCATTATAAAACAGCAGAAGGGTGAGAAATATTACCATAATAATCAAAGCATAAAATCATGTATATATAGGTATCATATAATTAACTCCCTATTTCTCACCACAATTCAACTCATAGTCATTTACATCGTCACTTATATATATATACAACATGAATGTTCACCAAGCATTTTACATCATGCATACATCCACAATTCCACAATCTTAACATTCACACGTAAGCATCTCTTCATGCACGCTTCATAAGTATTCAACAAACATCTCATTCACATGCATACTTCATATATCAATGACATTATACAATGTGACTCAACAACTCAATGCAACTCAATGCAATGCGGTACCGACTCTCGTTATCTTTTTTCGGTTTTTACATTAAACCGGGTCCACTCTTCTAGACCGATAATCCGTTATCTTTTTTCGGTTCTTACATTAAACCGGGTCCACTCTTCTAGACCGATAACCACAAAGGCCCGTCCTCTAAGCCTTCAAACCCACTCTTCTAGGTTTGGGACAAGCCACTAGTTTCCACGAAACTAACAGACATTGCCTCTTGACTAAATGATGCATGTACAATCAGCCACAACAAATGCACTTAAGACCGACATCTTAATCTCATGCATTCAAATAATTCATCTCTTCAAGAATTACATTATGATTGCACACACAACATATTCACATAACATTCGTCGATGTATTCATAATTCAACACTATCACCACATTATCACTCACAATGCACACATATCCACGATATGTTCTCATGCATTCTTCACAGTTATCAAACAATGCACACATATCCACGATATGTTCTCATGCATTATTCACATTTAATCACATACATACAATATGCATTTACAACATCTATCAAGCAATGCACACATATCCATGACATGTTCTCATGCATTCTATTCATACCACCATATACCAACAATATACATTCACAATTCAATATCATCACCGCATTATCAACAATGCACACATATCCACAATATGTTCTCATGCATTCTCAAGTAATTCATCATACAAGAATTACATCATGCTTACACACATAACACATTTACCACGTAATGTACATATATTCACGATATATTCTCACGCATTGTTCATACATAATCGCATCCAATCAATACAAACATCATATTTATCAAACGATGCACGCATATCCATCAATATGCTCTCATGCATTCTTCATGTATCTTAACATACAACCGCATATAAACAATATACATCCACAATACATTTTTGTATTATGTTTATTATTCATCTCATGCCATTTCATACAAGGTATACATGTCACAGTACCAATAATACAATTATAAGCTATGCACACATATATCCACAATGTTCTCATGCATACTTATTACCTAATTGTACACTACATCAAACCTTCACAAACTCATCAAATAATACGCACATTACCATTATTAAATAATACACACATAATCATTATCATGTTCTCATGTATTTATAATCGATCTGATTAATACTCATACCACAAATCTAGGATTCACGCCCAAAGGCTACCCATAACACATATCATCACCATGGATCACATACTTATTCATATCATAGAGGTATTAACCTATGTGAATCAACCAAACAATCACCATATGAACAACACAGCAAAAGAAAAATGCTGTCACATTCGCCTTCATTCGCCTGGCGAACCCTCGCAGCGAACCTTCGCCTGGCCTTCGCCCGACGAACTCTCTCAGCGAACACTCGCTAGGCTTCGCCTGGCGAGACTTCCCAGCGAGCCCAAGTCAGTAGCTACTGACTTCATTCGCCACCATTCGCCAGCACCTTCGCTGGGCGAACCTTCGCTATCCAACTTCGCTTGGCGAACTCTCCAGCGAAGTCCACTGGGACTTAAACTTAATTATTCGCCAGCATTCGCTGGGCTTCGCCTTCGCTCGCCTGGCGAAAGCCAGCGAACCTGCGCAGAACAGAACCCTATTCTGCCTCTCCTTCATCAATCCATCATCAACCAAACCTCAAACATCCAAATCAGTACAAATAGCATCAATACATGTTACCCGACTATTCTACGGCATTATTGCTCAGTTTCAACCGATTAAATCATCATTCTACCGATTAATCCAACTTGCCCTAAAATGGAAAGTGATGAAAAACATCCACAAACCCAAACCCAACATACATAATAACATACAATGATTAAATAGCAATGTTTCTCACCCTTACCTCGATTAATCGGAGCTTTGATGTTGGTTCTTGATGATTTTTCCACTTTTCCTCTTCTTCTCCTCTCTTTCTCTTCTTTCTTCTTTCTTTCCTCTTTCTCTCCAAATGTTTTCTATCTTTCTTTTCTTTTCTTTCTCTCTTATATATTTCCTTCATTTTCCTTCCTCTCCAATTCCTTCTTAATTTTCTATTAATTCCAATTAATAAAAATTAATTCCAATATTAACATAAAATCCCACTAAATCAATTAATTACTACAATTAATTATTTAATGAAATTTGGGCTGTTACAGGACCAACTTATGCGTCTGAGCTCAAAAGTCAAGACCACCCTGTTTACTAACGAGTTGGCGGGCCGACCCGCTAATTTTTTATTTTACAATTTAATTTACTACATAATTTACAAAAAAATTATTTATTACCTAAAAGGTCTGACAA